GCGCTTCAACCCTTATTTTTTTCGACTTATTCTTGGGATCCCATCTTCATATTACATCATAATTTAGGGAATTGAATAAGCTTTCTTTTGATATTAATTTTAAAAAAATCCAATATGTCGAATTTCGAGAAAAAAACAAATTTTTCTCGCTTTCGAGACCATTTTTATCGTAAAGCGTGGAAAAAATGCTATACGATATGTTGATTATCAATTTAAAAAAAATATTATATAGATGAATATTTCGACATCTTTTAAGCGCACGAGAAAAAAAATAAATTTTCAGGCCCCTGTATCTCTGCAACCCGCTAATCCTTTTTGCCCCCCATTTGGAAAGTTAAGGTAATCCAATAGGACAATAATTTGGCAAAGTTATGTGAAATTCGGAGAAAACATCATTTTTAGGTGGGAACACTTGAGGTGTTTTGCCCCATATATGTTTTATAAAACATACAGCAACACTAACTAAATAATAAGCAAATACAAGCAAGATAATCGATACAAATAGTCAACGCAGCATCATCGCCTGGAACCACAAGGTGGAGAAGAGGGCAAACCAAATTTTTATGACACCATACTTGTTAACGCTCTCGCCACTTCAACTGACGAGTAGACGACAGTGATTTATTTACCGTCAACTGCAGCTTTTAAAAAATTATATGCATTCTCCACCCCTTGCCTTTATGTATACAGTGTGGATCAGCCAAATGGAATAAAGTCGATAATAAATAAATGTTCCAAAAAACGCTCGGATTGGTATTTTAAGTTGGACATTTTTTTACAACAAAAACTTTTTGTACAGGGTGTTTCATGTAGCAGTGGCAATACCAACTTTCTTATTTTAAATGCAACACCCTGTATATTATTTAATTTTTGTATTCTTCAGAAAATTGTAGACATATTTTATGTACAATATACCTACCTATCTTTAAATGATAGGAAATATTAAAAAATTAACATTAAAGAACGATAATTTTTTTTATAGTAGTAACAATAAATAAATTAGCTTACAGGTTTATAAAAAGTTCAATAACAAAAAACAAAAACCATAAATAAAATAAATACAACATTATTAATAAAATATCATATCTGATTTAATTGATGTTTAAAAGTGCACAAGGACACACCAAAAAAGTTACAATTAGACACCTCATTAACAATCCTTGACACACGACATATAGGCGAATTGTTTGCGTAGGTACACAGTTCGAAACAATGAGACTTGTAATAATTATCCCTTAAGGGATGATTTCTCAAGTCAATATTTCAGGGTCTACAATAAGGCTGTTTATCACTTTATAAAAAAAGGTTGCATCAATATATGTATAAGTGTTTTAAGAGACAGCTTATAACGCATATAAAGGATAAATCTGTTTTGAATGCCTTCCAACCTATTTAGGTGAACATTATAAACTGGAGACCATATTGTAGATGCATATTCAAGTTTAGAACTTACCAAGGATGCAAAAAGAATTAACAATGGCATACATTCAGCTCCAATAGTATTGGAGTATAGTATAGTATAGTATTGTGGCGGCTGGTGGATTTTGGGCACACCCATATCTTAGTTATTAGACATGGGACCCACATCAAATTTATATGGGTTTATAATGACTTTATATAGACAAGTTCTGCGCAAGCAGAATTCAAATTGAAGTTTGCGAAAAATAGTTAGTTTTTAAGTGTGCCCCCAGCCTCCTGCCTCCCCCCCAAATCAAGATAATTCAAATTAAAGTGGTACAATATTTAATTCACTGAAGTTTGTCGACAAATTTCAAATTTTATTAAAAAAATTTTAGTATTACTGTAACTGTAACAGATTTTATACCATTTCTATTTTTTTTAATTTAGTTATTCTTGAAATGTTTTAATAAAATTTTAAATTTGTCGATAAACTGTATTGAATTAAATATTGTACCACTTTAATTTGAATTATGTTAATTTGGGGGAGCAGGAGGCTGGAGGGGCACACTTAAAAGTAACTTTTTTTCGCAAACTTCTTTTTAAATTCTGCTTGCGCAGAACTTGTCTATATAATGTCATTGTAAACTCATATAAATTTGATGTGGGTCCCATGTCTAATAACTGAGATATGGATGTGCCCAAAATCCACCACCCGCCACCGATGATCGGTCATATAAATTATGTGACATAATGATAGCGCTGTTTTGTTTAAAAATAAATTTGAGATACCATTTGATTACAGAAATTCGCTACAAACACACTGAAAAACTAATAAGTAATAATGTTTATTTCTTGATAATGTAATAAACAACAAAAATTAATGACAATGTAGGAGACATTCAAAATGCTCGCCGTGAACGACTTGGAAACATCCTAATTTTAAATAGAAATTACTTCTAACGTTACTCATCATCTGAGGCGTGACCGATCTAACCGCCAGCGTTAATCGTCGAGGGGTTTAATTTTTATACAAAACTTTTGACATATCCCAATAGAAAAAATTATAAAGACGTCAGATCAGGGGATCGTTAGGATTGGTTTTCTGGATGGTTTTCTTTTTAGAGCCCCACCCCTAATAAATATGCACCAGTTTCTCCATAGTTTTTAAAAGAAACGAGGATAGACCGATGGGTCTATAATCCTTTACTGTCTGGTAGTTACAACGTCCTGGCTTGAGGATGAACAACACTGGAACATTTTGCCAGAATTGTGGCACGTATACCCGTGCAAGGCAGGTTCTGAAGAGACGTATCAAGTGCGGGGTCAGTGGTTCTAGTCCCTTTTGTAAGAGCCGGAAAGATGCCATCTGATCCCGCGCTTTTAAAAGATCCAAATGAGTGGATAGACCAATTTATGGAGCGTGGGCAAGGAAGACTACAGAATCTGTAGTACAGATGCGTAAAGTGCTCACCGCGCATGGCTATCATTGAATTCTGGCTGGGTAATTTACAATACCTACATACCTACACTCACAGACACATACTGCACTATGCTCCACAGCCACGGTCTTATATGTATGTGACGCGGTCTAAGAAAACGAACCTTAGGTTATTTTCGAGATTATGATTGTTTAGAATGGATTGGTACCTAAATAATCTTTCGAAAAGTCAAACGTTATTACTTAATCGCATTTGGTACGCAAACTTTAATCGCCTCTCCTGTAAAATTTCATTTTAGGTTCGTGTTCTCGGAGCGGCTCACATATACAGGTCTTGCCATTTCAATAGAAAAAGTTACTCCACTATGAAACACACTTATTCTAAGAATGACCACATCGCCCAAACGGCAGCAAAAGTCGAAAAAAAAAATGATTTTACTGTGCTCATGTGATCAGCTCTCGGCCTCCATCAAGGAAAGCTTGTGGATCATAATAATAAAAAATAATATTCAGGATTTTGGTAAAGGTCTTGAAATTAAAGAATCAATTTAGTCTATATGAATATATTTTCTACAAAAAAATTAAAAAGAATACCCTACTAATACTACATTTATACCAGGATACAATAAAATAAAAATGTAAAAAAAAGAAAATGGTTTCTTTAACAAAGGAATGCAGTGAATAAATTATGTTGTACTCTGCAAATAACAATGGATTAAAAAAATGATAATTATGTGTAAATATGAATGCAGTTCTAGTACGTTAAAACGAAAGTTAGTGATATGTATTACAGCTAGTCTTAAAAAATTAACAAATATGTACAAAAATGTCTACACAAGGTTTGTATGATTACGAATATAATACACCATATGTATTTAACACCTTATTTTGTTAAACAAAAATACAACAATATCAAGAGGTTAAATATGTTGACCACATAAAAGCACCGATTAAAATAAAAAGTGGTTTAATACAAAGTCTAGCAACTAAACAAATGTTTTCTGAAAAACCTATAAATTTGGGGATGGTTTATAAAATATTTAGCAAACTATAGTATTATTTAGTGCTCTGGAAGTTTGCGATGTAAGTTTAGTTGACACACCCTGTACTTAGAGGTAGAGGTAATAGGATTAAAAAAACTTACTCTAAATGAAAAATTTGGCAAGATATTTTACGTATTAACCTGAGATTCAGTTTAACAAATTTAAAATAACACATGTACATGTTCGCGATTATTTTTTTATAATTTTAAATAAATCTGCCAATTTAGTAAATAGTTTACAAAATAATTTCAATGTATAGTTCAGTCTCAAAATTTTTCAATACAAATAATACGCAAAGTGCGCATTATTTAAACAATGATTTACTATTTTTTCCATTATATTCAATAAAAATAAAATTTAAATTCAACAATCTAAAAAATATTTCCCAGATCTACTGGTTTAATATTAACAAATTGTATTTGTCAAATACGCTGTACACTGTATTTTCTAAACATACTAAATGGATATATTTATGAAAAATATAGTTATATTTTCAATAAAACTTAACAGTTAATTGCACAATAATTTTTAAAGATTTATCTTTTAAACATCAAATTTAAAAAATTATAGTTTTAAATATTTATTTCTGTTCTGCTACTTATATCTAAGGGTTAGATGTTTAGAAATAAATTTATGGCACAATCCTAATAATAATAGAATTATTGTTAGTAAATATCTTATCTTATTTATTAAATGACACCAAGTAAAATAAATAGTTGTTATTTTCTTCCTTAATAGTATTCTTGAACTTGGTAAAGATTTTATTTATATTATTTGCAATGATTCCTTTGTTGTACTATAGTCAAATATTAACCCTTACTTGTTAAAACTAATTTGTTTAATATAGAATGAAAACAAAATAGATCAGCAAAATTACCAAGGTATCATTGCTACATAAAATATCTGGTAAGTCATATTAAAATTACATTTAGTCAATAACCTACTCGTCAACATTTTTCTGATATGTAAATCTAAGAAATTTCAAAGAATTATTTACAGAATATTTTAGGTTACTGTCTAAAAATGGGAATTGGACACATAAAACTTTAAAAGTGAAATAGATCTTACATAAACAAAAATACTAAACCTTATAATATAAATATTTTTTATTATTATAAATCGTCTTGACCCCACACTTCACTGTAGCTTTATGGTTATAAACATTTTATGAAAATTAACTATTTTGTTTTTTACTGTCTATTGGCACATTGGTAGGATAAATTGCACTAAGCAGTAATAAACCTGTTACTTTGTTTGCTCATGTTTTAAATAAATAAGCATTATTCCTAATGCATTTACTAAAACTTGAGAAAATCTCCATAACAAATTTGGTACTTCCTTAGTTTGTTTGTTGCATAATGCTTTGTATATGTTGGTTATAAATGGATTTTTAGATTATAATTATAATAACAGGTCGTATTTTAGTTAAACAAATACAGAAAATAGACGTTTTTTTGTAATTCTCTATTGTATGTTTGTTGAATGTGGTTGTAGGCAAGTGTGGTAACTAAGACACTGCTTTTTGAGCAGGTACTGCTATAGCAATGCAGGTACGGATCTATCATATCCAGCTGTATCTGAAATTTTTTGTTATTATTAAAATGGATATAATTAACAATAACATTTATAAACACAGTTTCAGGTGTTTATATTACACTATGCAATAATTTTATGCTTAAATTGCCTGAATGGGCCAATATTATTGGAGACCAAAACAAACTTTGAAAACTTAAGTGAACTCCAAAAATTATAGTTGTTTAAAGTTAAGTGACTCATACGCGATGTTTAACTCTGGAACACTACTCGGTGTCGTATAAGGCAGACGTTAACCAGAGCGCTTCCATATCGCTTAAAAAAATACCGTTTAATCTAAAGTGCAGTGCAAAATCATTACAGATACGGATAAGGGATAAGTGATAAGCGCTCCCATACCTGCCGGCGAAAAGCATACCTGAAGAACAACAAGGCGAAGCAAGATCGCGAATAGGGACCAGGGGACACCTATAGAATTTCGAGAAGTACATTTAGCATGAACTAAATGAAGAAAAACTAGCAACAAAAACAGTTAACTTGAGGAACGTTTAAACACGTTTAAATCTCCAGACAAAATAAACACTTGTCATCTACAACTAACTAACATAAATTAAGCAATTTTAACTAAAGAGGCTCTAAGAACGCATAAATCTCGTAGACAAATAACATTGGACAACTACAAGTCTATTAAACTAACAGGACATAAATAATAATACCTGAACTGACACAAGGTACCCAAATCCAATAAATCAACAAAATGCAATGAAAATAGTCCAAACAACGAAATATACAGTGACAGCATCATTAGCTAAAAGGTGTGTCCCCTACACGTGCACAGAAGAACAAGTCTTGTTCTTCTGCGTCTTAGACGCAGTACACGACAAATAAACGTTAGGCCCCCACAGCAAAATCAAAACCCAAGACCCGAAATGCTTGGCCCCGGTCTAAGGAGATTCCGCGTCGTACCTAGGTTTGGGTCGGCGTTATTGTCCCCTGAAACCCAAATGGTCGAGAATACTCGGTTAAACATATCTACATATGTACACTGAGAAAAAAGTTTATTGCTCCCAAATAAAAAAAAATATTTAAATATGGGACAAGGGTACAGTTTATTTATCCTAAATATATTTTTATTCCCGACACATAAAGTTTTACTAAAGTATATTCATCGTTATTATTTCGACTATTTAGAGGTAATAAACAATATATTCACTATTAATAAAAGTATTAGCTACACAGTTTATTTGTCCCATTTTTTTCTCAGTGTAGCGACAGTCAAGCAGTACTCCGGGATCCACTAAGAAAAGGTCAACTCAAGGACTACATAAAAACCCTCGAATTAATCAGTGTGCTCAAGAATGTCACCCTTATCTGGGTACCGGGTCATCGAGGCATTAAAGGCAACGAGGAAGCATACCAGCTGGCTGAGAAGTAACACAGCCTTTTTAGGGCCAAAACCTGTCATAGGGATCGCCTCCTGTCTGTTAAAAACCAAGATCAGAAACTGGACTAACAACCAGTTCCAGAACAAATGACGTGAACATAAGGCCTCAGGCAGTCAAGGGTCTTTATAAAGGGTCCTACAAACTACAAAGAGGCAAAAATATTTCTCTGAAACTTAACAGGAACCAGTTAAGAGCCATCACAGGAATCCTAACAAGACACTGGGTAGTCAAATACCACCTACACAAAACCGGACTCAGCAACGAGGAGGATTGTAGGTACTGCAGCGAAGTAGACGAAACTACCGATCATATAGTCTGCGAATGCGTCGCTCTAGTCAATAGTAGACTAAGGGCCGTATGCAGAAACGTTGATTTATTTATATCAACTGATTTACGCATACCCACTGATTAAAGTTTGAATCAATTTGGCAACATAGCAAATTTTAAATGAAAGTAAAGCACAGTAAATATTTGTAGGTTATCTTACATATACTTAAATATGTGTTTATTACATAATAAGAGTAATACATTTTTAAAATGTATTATTAAATATACACATAAATACATTTATAACTGAATAAACATTATTATTGACAAAAACTTGGTTTTGAAGAGAATTGCGGCAATATAAAATACAACAATTGGGTTATGTTCGCAGTTTGCAGTGTGCTTTGTTACAAGTACCTAAATTTGCATTAGAAGGTATGAAAAACGAACCACTATGTAAAAGTCTCATTTCGTAATGGCATCGTTGCTTAGAAAATTAATCTTTTCATTGACAAGGCAAAACTGGAATGTAAAGTGACGTTTCTGTATGAAAAGTGACAGGTCTGTGTGAAAAGAAATTGACAGCATCGTTTGACATTTGAATTGTATTTGTATATGTATGTCTAAATATCATTTAGAACACAATTAATTGTGTTTGTTTAATTCTAATTTTTGGTGCCTTTATTTAAATTGAGAAGGTAAGTTTATTGATTTTAATTTACTTATACCTTAAAAATTAAAAGAATAAGATGAAAGTAATTTTAACAGCTGTCAAACACGTTTTTAGGATATTTTGTTTTGTATTTGAAAATAATAAAAAATAAAAGGGTGGTAGAGAAAACTACGAAGGCGTAGAAGGGCCAACAAAAATTTTACAAATTTTAGCCAAAACTAACTTTGATTTTTGCAATTTCTATTCTATAATTGTAACTTGAACTTACAATTGTAACTTGAACCTACAATTGTAACTTGAACTTACAATTGTAACTTGAACCTACAATTGTAACTTGAACCTACAATTGTAACTTGAACTTACAATTGTAACTTGAACTTACAATTGTAACTTGAACCTACAATTGTAACTTGAACCTGGGTCAGAATTTCTCAAACGGGCCACCTGAATTAGGTCAAAATTAGTTTTTGATTGTAGATACATTTTTTCGATAGTATTTTACATCACTAACACAAATCCTAAAGGATTTTGTAAAAAAAAAATTTCAATTGACATATTCATGATATTAAAAGTAAAAGTTTTTAGTAATTAAAAAATAAAAAAAAATCATTATGGCTAAACTAATTATCCGATTCCAACGATTTAACTAGCGTTGGAATCTTGTTTTGACATAGATTCTTTGTTATTTTTTTCAATTGTACAATTTACATTTAGGTCGATTTTTTTTTGTTTTTTTTATAACAAATTCGGAAATAATTGGCTTCTGCGCCAGCTATCGACTCGAAAAAAAAACACATATACTCCAATCATTTTTCGAAATTATGCTGCTGAGAAAAAAAATGGCCCGCAGGTTCCAGACCACCGTAAGACGTCGCGTCACAAGCGCGTACAGCGTACACGGTTCGGAGCGTGAGCTGACACCGCGCGCGGCCACAAAAGGACGAATAACTTTTTGTCAACCTGCGGGCCATTTTTTTTCTCAGCAGCATAATTTCGAGAAATGATTGGAGTATATGTGTTTTTTTTCTCGAGTCGATAGCTGGCGCAGAAGGCAATTATTTCCGAATTTGGTATAAAAAAAACAAAAAAAAATCGACCTAAATGAAAATAGGACAATTGAAAAAAATAACAAAGAATCTATGTCAAAACAAGATTCCAACGCTAGTTATATCGTTGGAATCGGATAATTAGTTCAGCCATAATGAATTTTTTTATTTTTTAATTATTAAAAACTTTGACTTTTAATATCATGAATATGTCAATTGAAATTTTTTTTTTTACAAAATCCTTTAGGATTTGTGTTAGTGATGTAAAATACTATCAAAAAAATGTATCTACAAACAAAAACTAATTTTGACCTAATTCAGGTGGCCCGTTTGAGAAATTCTGACCCACCTACAATTGTAACTTGAACTTACAATTTTAACTTGAACCTTAGACGGCCAAAAAAATCAACTTTTTTTTTTTGAAAATATGGTATATTAAGCTCTATCAACGCAATTTTAATATTTTTTTCCTCAGCAAGTTTTTGTCTCAGAACTCCCAAACCATTGAGTTTAACAAAATTGGCTTGATAATATTATTTTAAGAAAATTAAATGCTCTACAAAAAAGGTTAAAGTGAAATTTTCCGTCAGATGAACCGTTTCCTGAAAATCATGCCTTAAAAATTGGTCTACTTTTACATTTTGATCTTTTAAATTGGAATTTTGTAAAAGTCAGTACCCATAAAAAACCGATAAATATTAATATATTTTTATGGGAAATCAAATGCTTTACAAAAAAGCCTATTGACATTTTTGGCTAAATTCACTCAATCAAAAGTTATTCAAGGTTAAAATTTCGTTTTGAATTCAAATTTGAATACCTAACTTTTGATTGAGTGAATTTAGCCAAAAATGATAAAAGACTTTTTTGTAGAGCATTTGATTTTCCATAAGAATATTTATCATTTTTTTTTTCAGGGTACTGATTTTTACATTAATTACAATATTGAATATTGTAATTAATATTGAATATTGTAATTAATGTAAAAATCATATTGAATATTCCAAAGTTAAAAGATCAAATTGTAAAACTGAACCAATTTTTAAGGCATGATTGCAAGAAAACGGTTCATCTGACGGGAAATTCCAATTTAACCTTTTTTATAGAACATTCAATTTTCTTCAAAAAATATTCTTAGGTCAATTTTGTTAAACTCAATGATTTGGGAGTTCTGAGACAAAGACTCGCTCAGGAAAAAAAAATCTTAATATTAATAATATGGACTCAAACTTTCACAATATTTTTTTTTGTCACCCCAAACCATATTTTCGATATACTTTTCAAAAAAAATAGTTGATTTTTTTGGCCCAGTCTATTGAACCTACAATTGTAACTTGAACTTACAATTGTAACTTGAACTTACAATTGTAGGTTCAAGTTACAATTGTAGGTTCAAGTTACAATTGTAGGTTCAAGTTACAATTGTAAGTTCAAGTTACAATTGTTAGTTCAAGTTACAATTGTAGGTTCAAGTTACAATTGTAGGTTCAAGTTACAATTGTAAGTTCAAGTTACAATTGTAGGTTCAAGTTACAATTATAGAATAGAAATTGCAAAAATCAAAGTTAGTTTTGGCTAAAATTTGTAAAATTTTTGTTGGCCCTTCTACGCCT